TTCATGAATCTGTTTTTAGGCCCCGGAATCTTATTATTACGGGAGTATTGAGTAGTTCGTTCGACCCATCGGTTATAGTGCTAAAACACCTATCAAGTCAGGAGACCTCCAACTAGCAGAAAAAAAAAATTTCGTTACAATGTTTTGTTTTTACCTGGTACAAGTTCGAATTTCAGTAGGACGTCCGGAATTCAAAAGCAAGAGTTTAATGTAGTTGTAGTACATACGACACGAAGAACCCGAAAAAGTATCTGGACCAAGAATAAAGAGGTTTGAGAGCGTGTTCTCACCGTCCGCGTCAAGATTAACATCGGTATTCGATTGTTACGACGGTGTTGATTCTAGGTACGACGACACTTTCTTTCCTTCGAACTTAGGTACAACACTATCTTATAGGTTAGAATTTATTTTTTTATGGAATTTCCTGTGGCACTTACGAAAAAAAGGAGATTACGTACGTATTTCTAGCCTAGCCTTTTTAGCCATAGCCGTCTCAACAAAAGAGTTTAGTTACTAGCCTTAGCCTGGCCGCCTCGTTTTTTGGACTAGCGCCTGTAGGGTGGAATAGCATCGCGTGTATGTTCGTATGAGGCTAATTTCGACTCCAATAGGTATCAATAAATCTATATATCATAGTAGTGACGTCACTAGGCGTTGGCGCTGTCCACTTCGTTTGTCGTCTTAGTGTTGTGTCTGGAAATGCCTCAAATGCCCTCTAGCATAGTGGCGATCGACAGTTAGACCTAGTTTTCTGAACAGAAGTTACGGTAATTTGCTTCGTTTTTTGCGTACCGACTTAGCCAATTAGGTATCACTATTACAAAGACACCTTATAAAAAAAATTTAAATCATATGGTATTAGAGGAAACATAGCATTTTTTAGCCTCCTCGATTTTCATCGACGTTACGCATCGGTGGTCCTCAATAGCGGTCGAAGGCAAAAATCTATTGCAGTCAGAGTGTTGATGTGTGTTGTCTAAATGGTGTATTCTCATTACACCCTAAGGGGAGCTAAGGTAAGCGGAGCTGCATTCTTTCTTACAGTTAGTCGTTTTAGATCGTTCGCCGGTCCGTCCGGTCTCTATACCGTTTTAAAAAAAGGTGGGTTTACGGGGTCTTCACCCAAAAAAACGGAGATTTAGAGGAGATTTTTCCAGTTTTCAGTGTAACAAACGTAGTTAGCACTATGTCCATGGAAATAATATAACGAACATCGAAACCGTAGGATTTGCGAAAATAGATGGTAGGGTAGTAAGTTCCCGACAAAAGTGATATTCGGGATTTATTTTACACCTGCGGGCTGTGTTATAATCGTAAAAAATGACAAAGTAGACTTTAAATAAAATTGTATTTTATAGATATACTAAGACTGTGCAAAGTGTAGGTTGAGTGTCGAATTGGATACGAAACCTTTTATTCGTAATTAATTAAATTGGGAAAATCTTCCGCTTCTGATACAGTAAACAGACCCTTACAGTAAAGCTCAGACTTGGACTTTTTGTCGAGCCCGAATTTGTTCAAATTTTTGATTAGCATTGTAAAATAAATAGTGAGTAGTTATCTATTTGTAGTATACATGATACCTACCCATGAAACTGTCTCTAATGAGTGTTTATGTGTCATTTATGAAGTAACATAAATACATCGTCAGTTGATCATGACTCAGGTTGTACAGTCAAAATATTCTTGAAATAACCGATTGTTATCATACATAGCTAAGTCCATTTTTTCGAATCTCGTTGACTAAAACTTTTTTGCTTCACCCCCTCTCTGCCATACTCCAACCTGGGCAGGTCTTTAGCGGGCACAACCATATCTAACATTGGTCACCAGAGTTTCACCCCCCCCCGGCGGGGGGGTCCGCCGCCGTCTCGGTACGTCCCCCCGCGCTCCTCTGGTCGCTCCTTTTTACCAATATTTTTTTTTTTTGTAATTTTTTTTTTTTTACAAATTATTAATAACTAAGCTTTTTTATATATGTCATGATAATGCAGACCAGAGCACAAAGTAATTCAAACGAGACCACACCACCTCCTTGCTCGGTGGGAAAAACACACGCAGCGCTCACTGCTCGCGTGCCACTGGCCTCTAAGCAACACAATCGACAGACCACGTGCGCTCGATGCGATTGGCCTAATATTCCTCAAAAAAGTTGTTGTTTCACTCCTTCTGCAGGAGAGGACCGTCTTCTCTCTGAGTCACGATTTTCTGAGAGTCCATAGAGTCACCCAGAGTTGCAAACCAGTGGTAATACATTTGATGAATAAGGCTGGGGG